AAGCGACTTGTGTGTTTAACTAAAGCATCTCACGTTTTACTGTCACTTTGTTGGAACATTCGCAATGACGACATGTCAAATGTGAGAGGATAATTGGTACATTTTAAATGTTGTCTTACTCAGGCTCTCGCCAATTATGGTTTTACTGCTGGCATGAATGTGATCAGTTATTGCTTTCAGATAAAAAACGTTATCACTCCAAAATGCTGACTTTTCAGAAAATAAAAGTCTTTTGTCAGCCTAGTTATATGATTACATGTTTGAGTTGCAGAGAAAACAAATGAGTGATATTTCTCATGCAGTAATCAAAGTAAAATCTACATCTCCAATGAGGATTTTATCGTAATAATAGCCTGTTGGTATGAAGTGTGAAATATTTGGAGGTTTTGCATAATACATGTTACAAATTTGTTTTGTCAGTTAATTGGGAGGAATTGTTGTTTTTACAGACATTGTTAGAACCAGGCTACCTGTTTCCAGCTTTTATGCTAAGCTAACTGGCTGCTGGCCCTAGTTACATATTCACCACACAGACAAGAGTTGGAATTGAACTTTTTTTAGCAAGTAATCAAACATGTCAAATGGTTATTCCTTTAAGTGACAGGACTGCTGGTGAGAATTGCTCTTGCCAGTGTGTTTGACAGCATCTTGCATTTTTTTTTTGGTACAGGGTGCAGTTTGGTGAGGGTATGGCTTTCTTTTATGTGATGTGTGAGAAGTGAAATATGTATGAAATCTAGATCAATTTATAACCTGGTCATCGGGGTTCATGGAAGGTAGTTTTATGTTATGCCAATGGGTTTCCAACTAGGACAGAACTGCCCTCCACAGCACAGTCAGTACACTGAGTTGGGGCTTTACCAAAATAGAGTATACTGCAGAGACGAGTACTCTGGGATTGGTCAGTGGTGAGATTTTTATTCTTTAACTTGAAAACGGAAAACAGACCTGTGAAGCTTTTGTCTGACAGAGACATCATTTCATTTAATTAGTAACTGAACCTCTCCTTCCATGTGGGTGTATGAGAGCCTGTGTGAATCTGTGTGTTAACTCAGTGGAAACTGAAAGTGCAACATGTTTCCAGTCATCTTCCATGTGCTCTGTCCGGACACGGCCACTTGGCCAAACACACGCACACACACAGCAAAAAGAAAGCAGGATGTAAATTTTCCCTCTTAAAAGTCTTGTGGGGCAAAAGAGGGCCTCTATTCCCTAACTTGTTTGAACAGCTTGTATGTTTGGTGTGTGTGTGTGTGTGTGTGTGTGTGTGTGTGTGTGTGTGTGTGTGTGTGTGTGTGCGAGTGCGAGCAGATCACAATTTGTGGTCAAATGTCCCACCTCTCTCATTTTGGTCTCAGGCTCAGCCATTTTATCTCCACATCCATCTCTCCAGTCAGCAAATGAGCCCCTTCTCCCATGAAACGTAGAATAAAGAGCAGATTAAATGAGAGTCCAATGGAAAGTAAATCACTCACTCTGGCTCCCAATACTTACATGTACAATAAGTCTTTTTTTTTTTCCACTGCAGACACTTTGATGTGTTATAGCAGGGAGAGCACAGGTGTTACTAATAACATTAACAATGGCTCTTTTATTTTCAATTGACAGTGTGATCCTGAAACTGAAGCAGCTAAATGGAATTTAGCCGTCATTAATTTGATTATTTACACCTGTGTTTTTCCTGCTCTGACATGTCAAAATGTCGTCTGTAAATTGGGCCTATGAAAGAATCATAGGTTGCTGCGTGCAACTAGTGGGAGGCTTAGGATATCCTAACAAAGTAAAATTGTGTGATGCATATATATGATGTAAAGCTATCAAATGTATATATATATATATTGAACATATCTGTCTAAACAAATGCTAAAACTGTCTCAATATCTCTTAAAATGAACCCAGACAGTATCACTGAGGTCAACATTTCCAGTGCCTCCTTCCACAACTCTTCTTACATTTGAATCACAGACTCTAAAGATAGAGAAAATGTGAACCTACCCTTAAACCAAAGACAATGCAAGAGAATCTAAATCCCCCTGCACTATTTTTTTTCTCCCCATACTGGTAGACACGTGGGGCAGGTATGAGACAGATAACTCAGTCTTGAACCTTTTGAAACTACCAACAAAATGTAAAATATAGAGCTTCTAAGCAATCAGGAGAACTGCAAGGCAACAGCAGAGAAACAAAAACAATACACGCACAATGCAAACAGGCTTTTTAACATGAGTTTCTGTTTTCAAACCTTTGATGAACAAACCACGTTAAATGTTCTGTGTGGTTTCCCTGTG